ATATTTTACATAATAAAAAAACACAAATTTGTATGTATTATATATGATTTTTTGACCACATTTAACGATAAATGCGTTTTCAAATATTCTTATATGAATTATTTTTTTCTATTAAGTTCTTATTTTTAAGAGTTATTAGTTTATGGATGTTCTTATGTTTTAACAGAAAAGATATTAAGAGAGAGAGAGAGAATAAATAAAGTCACCTTTTTTCCTCCTTTGGGAACAGAACAGTCAGTGAAAAGAACGAAAAAAAACAATAGTTAATAAAGATTTATTACTGACACATATATAAAAGTATCAGAATAGTAATGATCATTGGTATAATTCATTAGTGATACTAAAAATTACGTTCTTGGAAGAAGGTGTGTTAGCATAAAAGTTGTGTTAGGACAGATTTGAAACAAAAGCTTAAGTTTCAGCAACATTTTCTTTCCATTAAAGATATCAAATGACGTATAAAAAGGTGGTTTTAGAAATAATGTGAAGTAAAAAACAAAACAGGTAAAGTAATAATCCCGAATGAAACAAATACAAATCGTGTGTATTTTTCACCTAAAATGTACATAAGCTATTTGTTTTATAAACGGAAAAACAGTTTTTTAAGTTAATCTTGCAACGAGTTGTATGCCAACTTTTTCCACTTGTAGACTCTGATAAAGCACAGAAACTCTCAGTGGAACTTTGGGGTTAGATAACCAACTGATAATAAGGAATGTTCCACTGTTGATGTATGTTATTTTGTAAAAATAAATGTTACTTTCTTCGCAGAAAAGATTAAGAAAATTCTCAAAATATAATGATAACCGCTAAATTAGATAACTTATAAATCTTTGGGATTACAGAATTCAATCATTTGCGTTATTACACAGAAATTATTATTCTTTCAGCGAAATAAGGTGTGTATGTGTTTTGACAAGATATTATTTCTTCAAAGCTGATTTCCAGATTAAAGTACTTTTTATTATACCATAATGAACATGTCATTAGTAATATAACATTTCTTAAGAAGTTCCTTCATCAAACTTGTTCTTTGAAAGACAAGATTTTACTTTGATTATACAATCTACTAGATATAGTAATGTTTAAAAATATAAACGTTCAACACAGGAAGACTGTTTGTTATTAAGCACAAAGCTATACAAAGGCCTATCTGTGTTCTGCCCACCACAGGTATCGAAACCCAGTTTCTAGCAGTATAAGTCCGCAAACACACCGCTGTGCCACTGGGATGGGGGTGAGACTACACAGGAAGAAAACCACAAAAATACTCATTCTTGAATTTCCTGTAGAATTATATAAATTGTCTGTTGTTTACTGTTGTGCGTATATTTAGGTTGTAGCGAAACAATTATTCACTTAGGTGTATAAATATTGAAAAGTAAAATGTGTGCTTTTATGCTGTGCCAAAAAAGTGTAAAAAAAAATATATATATTAAAATCTAATACGGGTGACTTGTAGGAAAAGTAATGTACATGTATAAATACATAGAGATGTGTATTTGTTGCTTTGTGTGAAAACGTAATAAATAAGATTACAGACGAAAATATCATCAACAGCGAGAATTACAAACCGAGAATGCATTGCATTTTAATCATTATAGGTTATAGTTTTCAGAAGTACTTATTTCTGGCATTAAATAGCAATATAATTTTCGAGTATATTAATTCTAATACATGGAGTTAACTCACTGTTGATCAGAAGTACTTAATGGTTTTTGATTAACGAAACCACCATCGTTGGTCGTATTTCCTCGTTTATCAACTTAAAATAAATCAAACTGTTATAATAATATAAATATAAAAAATTAATCGAACACCAAATTCTCCATTATTGGTGTTAATATATAATTTATCTTTTTAAATTATCTATAGCTACAACGTTAAAAAGATGATAGCTTAAGAAAAAAATATAAAAATAAATTTTAAATGAAAAGTTGAAGAAATTATTGCAGTATTTGAATATTCTTTCTTTGTGATAAGGTTTAGTTATTTTGATACTCACTTTTTGATAGGTGACGGACTACCTGCATGCGAGTGACCCCCATTTCTGGAATCTGCAACAGGGCAAGTCACCATCATATACGCTAAAAATGCCAAAATGGAAAAAATCTCAAGAAATATATTGATGTTATGTATGTAATTGGAAAGTAACTGTGGCGTAAAATGTAAATGCTTACTTTGTAAAGAAATTATATAGACTAAGTACAAAACGATGTGATGTTTGAAAGTGACAGATAATTAAATATTATTTAAAATGTTGCTCTAATGAGTGTGAAAACGAGCGGGTAAAATATTAGAATGCAACTTTATATATATTGAAAGATTAATACTTTACCTTCACTGTACGTTATATTTTCTGAGTGTCGGCGAGAACTATAATTTAATAGTAAATATAATCAACAGATGGCGCTAAAAGTAAATTATACGTTATATCTAAATTTCAATATCGAAAGATATGAATATTAAATCTTCAGTGTGTAGCATCGTTGAGTATTAGCTTTTCAGATGTACTGAAAAATAAAAAGGTTTGCTGAATTGTATAGAAACCAGTAAAATAGATAACCAGTAAAAGTGTTTATGTAGCCCATATTAACGTACTTACCCTTTTCTGCTTTTCTTCGTTTTCTCTTATTGCATATTTTGACAGCACATATTGATAACACTATGGCTGCGATGAAGAACAAAACACCACCAACTACACCAGCAGTAAGAGCGCGGCTTTTTGTCGCCTCATAGTTTTCTCCTAGAATAACAAAAACATTATACACCTAAAAATAAGAGCAACATAATCCCTATTAATAACAAGATATGTTTTGAGAATGAAAAATAAATGCATCGAAATGACAATACAAAACGGTTAATTATAAACTTTTAGGTTTTCCCACGTAAGTTTGTATATAGGACATAACACAACTATATATTAGTATAATTTCAATGGTTAAAACGAACACAAAACATGAATATAAATCACAGGTAGAAAAAGTGTTATACGTGAGGAAAATGAGGTTGTTGGAAAGAAATGTAGAGTATGTATAACAGTTGTTCGTATACACTAAAGTTAGATAAAACACTTTTTTAAATCAAGACAATATAATGAAGCTTTGATATCGCTTTGCAAAAAAAAGATGTGATTTTCAACAGATATATTTATTTAAGAATATATATATATTATTAGGCAAAAAAAGCCTTAACGTGTTTGTCTTTCTCTCAACCTTTACAAGCTAGACTAAGGTTATATATATAAGTTCAAAAATAATATTCTCAGAACATCTTTGTAAGGAGAAATAGAAAGTCTCATTTTTCTTTCGCCATGCATAATAAGTTATTTCTGATGTCAACCTTTTACAAAATGGGCCGATAGGTGGCGAATGGAAAGCTTCCCATTTTCCATTCAAATATTATTTTTTCAGCAGATTGGTCGTTCAGAACTGAACTTCTGATTTTTGTAAATGATAAGAAAATGGTAATATTACATTTTTTATCATATATATTTACAGAAAGTGTACGTGATCATGTCTCATTATTATAGATGAATCGTTATGTCCAAATATATTTACTACCCCAACAACTTTATAAATGTTCGATAATAAATTGAGTACCTCTTGCAAAAAGTAGTGAAGGGTTGGAGTTTTTTTCCCCAAATGACAATTTTCCCCAATTCGAAGTATCCCCGATGTTCACGTTCCCGAAAACAGAATATATTTCCTTTTAATGATAATGTGATAATTGTGAAGGCACCATAAACGTTGGTTGTATATAAATGGCAAAGTAAAGGTAGTGAATTAATTTATTTCTTAAGTTAATTAGCTTATATGTGATATATTTACAACCAGCAAATCATGCACCTACCTAATAATTATGAATACTATAATTATAATAAGAGAAGTTATGTAACATGCAAATTTCTCAATAAGATAAAAGTAATTTCGAAAAATATTAATAGCACAATGAATTTTGTATTATATCTTTCCAAAACAAACGAAAATAAATTCACTTAAAAGTACTATGATAGGAGTTTAGGGGAAATAAAAGTCAGGGTCTCGAAAAACAAAACTAGATCGTACCTGTGACGGTGAGAGTAACGTCTGGACTTGGTTGTCCTACCGACATAATTGAGTAAGCATAGACACGAAATTTGTACTGACCAGAGGGCAAGTCCTTAGCTGTCGTGTAAAAACAGAAAAAATAAATTAATAAAGTTACAAAAAAAGAACTTAAATATTTGAATATTGGTTAACATTTCCTGTATTATAAACAATTCTACACATAAAACTGGTCATGTTTACTCAGAACAGTATGTGCTTCACAGTGGGGTTTTAGCACTAAACATGATTTTTAGATCTCATATGATGTCCATGCATACTACATACCACTTTGTTGGAACACATTTGGGGTTTTGACAAACGTTTACTGAACGATTATTACACCTTGTGTATAAACGTTTTAGAATAATAAAAAATGCAAAAATTGTATATGTTTAATCATGTTATAAAAACATTTTTTTATAAAACAAATATAATAATTTTGCGCTTTTCTACACTACTGTAAATTGTCTCGTTAGAGTAGTGTAGAAAAGCGCACGATAAAATTGTACTGGTTCGTTTTCCCTGGTTGTTTAAAGCATAACTAACCTTTTCATCACTGTTTCTACATAAGGAACATATTACAGCTGAGTAAGATAATCATAATTGATCTGAATCATTACACGATACTTTTGACAAGGAAGAGAAATATCCTTCAAGTTTTGAGTGCGTGCATCTGCTTACAACACACATAATTCACAGCAAACAGAAGCCATATAATTATCTTAAAGAATCTGCCTATTTATAAACTTACAAGATTATGCTCAGAAATGTAATATCTCTCAATACAATGAGAAAACCCAAGAACTGCAGTTATACCTTTCATAAAATAAAAACGAAGTATTTATTCTAAATTTCGTGGTACTACACAGAGTGTTGTTATGTTAATTTCAGCACTGTTGCAATGCATTCTCATGCTATTCTTCTAACATCACGAATTTCCCATACATTTAATAGATTATACTTCGTTTTATGTTGTGAAAATATGTTTTTATATAATGCGTTTCGTAACATAAATGTGAGCAACTAGAATAAAGTTATTGAGAGTTTACCTAGATAAGAAGTAGCATGTTTTACTGGTCCCCAACGCTTCCAGGGTTTAGATTGAGTACGGTACTCAACATAGTAGAAAGCCACAGGAACTTTCTGGTTAAGAGGAGAAAGCCAGGAGATAAGAACGCCATCATCTGTCTCTTGCACAGTAACATTACGTGGTGGGGATGGCTTGGGACCTGTAAATCATGTGAAAATAATCAGTTAGTTTCAGTTCAATTCAATCTTCAGATCCACTTAACGTAGATGTAGTCTTAACTCATGCTCCAGATGTGAACTAGAGAAACAGACATCAGAAAGTTTCTGTAACATTTCAATATTAATTAGTGCCTACTCCTATAAACAAACGTTTCAAGAATAGACCGGGCGTGGCGTAGTGGTTAGCAGGCTCAGCTGCAGGTAGGAAGGTTTGAGCTACGATATGTTACTGAAAATATAGGAACGTTATAACTGTGACAGTCAATCCTGCTATTTGGTTAAGAGTATCCATATAGTAGGCAGCGGGTGCTCATGGCTGGATATTTGCTATTTGGTTAGCAGTTCTCTAAATTAGGGTCAGATAGGGTCTCTGTGTAACATAAGGTTTTTCGAATTACTTGTCAATCATCTACACCAAAAAATTCGGTTTCTCTCAGACCCAATAAATATTGTTCAGAACCCAATTTATCAGAGAAATTAAAGGAAGTGCAACTTTGAACTATTCGAAATGAAATGCACGTTTTTTAGTTATTGAAGTACAAACAGGAAAAAAACGCACAGAATAATAATAGTGATAATAATAATATATATATATATATATATACACGTGTGTATAAGATATACATTTACTACAAAAATGATTTTAAAGTGTCACATTTTACAACTTTATCCAACTGGCACGTCATACAAATATCGCTAAAAGACTATTGAAAGGGGATACGACATATTAGATCGTCAGGAAATTAATGTCGCGTTTTGGAACACTTTCATTAACCATCCCCGAAAAACGTACATCACGTATAATAGTTAAACGAACCGCCTAAACGTCACGTTAGTGTAGCCTATATAATGTGTAAAGTTTAGTATACTCTAATCCCATATAATGATGACACACGACAACACACACACATTCGGCATGTAATGCTGTTTCAATACAAGGAGGGGAAACAACGCCTCTGTAGCCACGAAGAATATCAAAGAAGTTTATGGAAATGTTTTGAAGTTCGTAAGTGTCAATGATGGTTCAGCAAATTTCTTTCAGGTGATTTTTGCCTTAAAGACTGTGATGTCAGGGGCCGACGTGGAATTGATATAGATGCTCTAAAGACGCTTGTTGAGTCTAACCCAAGGCAACAGACTCGTGAAATGGTTCTGAAATTGCATGTCTCTCATGAAACAATACGTAAACATATAAGGAATATGGAAAAACTCCATAAAGGAGGTGT